TGGTGAGATCAAGTCTGCACTGAACTCTATCTCAAGGCAGATCTCTCCCTCTGCCCCTCCCCTGACAGTCACGTGCACATGCTCTCTCAAATAAATAAATAAATCTTTTAAAAGGAAAAAAGAAAGTGAAAGTCAAGCCACAGACTGGGAGAAAATATTGACAACATATATCAAAGGACTTTTACATGGTATTTATAAACTCTTACAATTCAATAATATGAAGCCCAACAACCCAATTTTTTAAATGGACAAACTATTTGAGCAGACAACTAATCAAAGAAAATATACAGATGGCCAATAAGCACATGAAAAAGATACTCAACATCATTAGTTATCAGGAAAATTCAAATTAAAACCACAATGAGATATCATTACATATCCATTAGAGTGGCTAAAATGAAAAAGACTGAGCATGCCAAATGATAGCAAGGATATGGAGTAGCCAAAATTCTCATACATTCCTGGTAGGAATGTAAAACGGTATAATTAGTTTGGAAAATATTTTTGTAATTTCTTAAAAAGTTAAACATATACCTACCACAAGACCAAGACCAAGGCATTCCACTCCTGGGCATCTAGCTATAAGAAACAAAGACATCTGTCCCCACAAAGACCTGTATATGAATGTTCTTCACAGCTTTATTTATAATAGCCCCAAACTGGAAATAACCCAAATGTCCATCAACAAGTAAATAGGATAAACAAACTGTTATATATCTACACAAAGGAATACAACTCAGTAATAAAAAAGGAATGAACTTATTGAGACAGGACATAGCATGTTAACATCTAAAAATCATGATGTGGAATGAAAAATTCGGGCAAAAAAGAGTATAATACAAAGTAATCCATACTGACAGGAAGCTACTCAGTGGTTGCCTGGGGAAAAGTGGAGGGAGAGATGGATTACCAAAGGTATCAAAGAAACTTTTGAGACTGATGGAAATGTTTGTTATATTGATTGTGGGGTTTACATGGGTATATACATATGTCAAAACTGTTCACCTTGTGCAGTTCAAATATGTGCATTTTACTGGACTTCAATTGCATCTCAGTAAAATAATACCAAAAATAAGAGAGGGAAGGGAGAATCCAACTTATTGACAAAGGCAACAAGCAGTTCTATGCTTCCAGCCATACGGTGAACTGGATAACCTGTCTCACTATAAAACAGAAATGATTGGTAAACTATTAACAAACATCCTCTTAAGTGTGTTTTGACTTCATTAGAAAGAAAGAGACACAACTTTGGTCTACGCTTAAAGAGTAGGCGGAGAGATTGCTGGTCCCTTAAGCAAGCGGCTTTGGTTTAGACAGGCACTCACCGACAAGAACCTGGCTTGGATTTGGGACTGAGGGTAGGACTTAGGACTGAGACTTCCCCAAATTCCTGAAGCAGTAAAGGACTACACCCTCGGTAAAAGGTTGGTCCAAGAAAACATTCCACTTGCTAGCCCAGGAAAAAATAAGGAAGCTCTCCTGCCTTGGGAAAGGTCTCCTCTGAGATCAAGTCCCGCATCAGGCTCCCTGCTCAGTGGGGAGTCTGCTTCTCCCCCTGCAGCTCCCTCACCTTGTGCTCTCTCTCTCTGATAAACAAGTAAAATTTTTTTAAAGACATATGAATAGTAAAAGACTGACAACATTTTGAAGAACTGAGTTGTCAGAGTTCTTGCTAAAAAGATGTCTTATTTAAAAAAAGAAAAAAGATGTCTTACGTTTATAAGCCATGGGGAAATCACCTGCTATGGTTCCAAAGTTAAAAGCCTTCTCAGACTTAAGAGGCATATAGAGTATAGGAAAAGAAAATTTCCAAGACAAAATTTAAAAAATGGTTAAAGAATTTTTGTTGCACTGAAATTTAGCATCTGAAAAATTCATTATAATTGAGTACATTTCATAGTAAATATAATTATGAGACTGGGCTGATTCTAGTTTCAACAAAATTTGTCCTCCCATTGGCCAAATTTGGGACATGTTGAGCATCAAAAACAAACAAACAATAACTATGATTATAAGATATCAAATGAACAAAAATCCGAGTCCATTATGATATTCAAAAAAGAAAAAGGGGTATTATTAACAATAGCCAAATTATGGAGAGAGCCCAAATGTCCAAAGACTAATGAATGGACAAAGATATGGTATACATACATACACAATGGGATATTACTCAAGTAATATTATTTGAATATTGCTTAAAAAAATCTTGCCATTTCCAACAACGTGGATGGAGCTACAGTGTATTATGCTAAGTGTAATAAGTCAGAGAAAGACAAATACCGTATGATCTCCCTCATTTGTGGAATTTAAGAAGTAAAACAGCTGAACATATGGGAAGGGGGAAAAGAAAAAAAGGAGAGGGAAACAAACCATAAGAGACTCTTAAAAAAAAAGAGAGAGAGAGACTCAATATAAGAGAACAAACTGAGGGTTCATGGAGGGAGGTGGGTGGGGGATGGGCTAGGTGGGTAATGGGTATTAAAGGGGACACTTGTGATGAGCACTGGGTGTTGTATGTGATGAATCACTGAATTCTACTCCAGAAACCAATATTGCACTGTATGTTAACAAACTAAAATTTAAATTAAAAAAAGAAAAAGGGAAAAAAAAATAGGGAAAGCCCTTTTTTTGTAGAATGTATAAGGAAAGATATTTAGAAAACCACCACTTTGAATCCCCAAGGCAATAACTGGTTCACGCAAGGATCAGCAGTGTAAGCTAGAGCCATTAAGCAGAAGGTTGTGAAGAATATCCACACAATATTGAAGAATCACCCACAAATAATAACCATTTGCAAAGAGAAAAAAACCTTTATAACGGATAAATCTCTGCTCACCCACTTAACCAAGGAATCACTCTTCAATTCAGGAACTGTAGGGCAACCTGATATTATGTTTCTTAACGTGAAGCAATAAAGATACACAAGATCACTAGTGAAATCTTCTTGCCAAGAATGTTTAACCTGAATCCAATCAAGTCTTACACAGTTTACTGGAAACAGAAGGACTAGGCATTAAAAGACAGCATAAGGAACCAAATCCAGAATGTGGGCCCTTCTATAACTATGACTTTAAAAACCCAATGTCATTTTTAAGAAACGTGGGGAGACTATTCTAAACTAAAAAGACAAAAGATCTACAACCAAATGCCACACACTCACTGAAACCTGGCAAGAAAAAGGGAGGAAACTGCTGTTAAAAATTCTGAAACCAATTGGAAAATCTGAATAGAGATTAAAATTTGATGATATTCAGAATTATTGTCAGTTTTCCTTAGGTGTGATCATGATGTTGTAGTTATATACACAGGAATTTCCTTGTTCTTGGGAAATACATGCTTAAGTTTTTAGAGATGAAATATCATGATGCCTGAAATTTACTTTGAGTACAGCCGTGTGGTGGAGAGAGGGAAGATTGCCAAAATCTGTCTTTAACCTTCAAAACCAGCAATATGGCTTAACCTAATATATACATAAAGAGAGTTAAAGCAAGTGTTAGCAATTGCTAGCAAATGTAAAATCTGGGTGTTTACTGTACTATCATTTCAACTTTTCCATGTCAGAAATTTTTTTATACTGAAAAGTTGGGGGAGGGGGAAGACTTCTCAGAAATATTTTCCTTAGAAGACACCTACCAAATTTACCTTAAATTTTAAAGAAATACCTTAACTATTCTAAAGAAGTGGTTTGCTTGTCCTATTTGTTCACTCACCATCCAATCGAAGCCTACAGCTAAAACCTGCTTTAATTATTGCAAATATTCTAATACTTAGAATAGAAATCCCAAAATAATCAGCACAAGATTTATATGTGTAGCTGGTTTTATACCCAAACAACAAACTTAACAGCAGTAAAACAAATTGTTTATTACAGCATAAAATGCGTTATATTAAATTTACACAATGATAGATAAAAACACATACTGTTTATATCATACAGTAATTTAACATCCATAGAAATATCAAAACAAATACTACTCATGCACAAAACATGCATATATTGGTACAAAAAACCATTTTACACAATACTGTTTACCAAAACAAAAAAAAATTTTTTTAAAGCCCTTCCAGACAGGGTCAGTGGTCCAATCTGGACTGGATTGCACTAAAATGTTCGGGCCAATACTTAGGTGGCACAGTGCTCAGTGAGCAATTCTGGGCTTGGAGTCACACCCAGGGGTTATTCAATTAGTGAATTTCTCAGTACCCAAGGACCAAAATTTTATCACAAAGGCAAGTCCTTCCAGAAAGAAATGGTTGGATCTGCTGCAAATCAGGGAGGAGGAGAAAGGCATCAAAATGTTGGCTAATCGGCCCTATAAAAGGGTTACTGTAACCAGGGCCTAGGCACCAAGTGTGGCGAAAGTTTTAGTGAATCCTTTTAAGGTTATTACCAGCCTCCCTATCCAGGTCACCAGCTCTGGAGTTAGGGTCTGGTCTTCAAGTTCGGAGTCCAGTAAACCAAACAGTTCTGAGAAGAAAATAGAATGGGGGATACATCTAAGAAAGGGAGACTATATAAAAAATTACAGAAAACAATGACTGTCCATCGTACCTACTTCACACAATTGTATGTGATGCCCCTCAACAGGAAAACCCTGGTGGAGACACTGCCCGAGAGAACCAAGAAGCAAACGTATGTCCTAAATTCCATCCACCTGACCTTCAGATCAAAAGGTCCCATCCCAGTAAGAGGTGAACATCGATCGAAACCTGTGCCTTCAGAGATCCTCGGAGAACTTCCGATAAAAATCACCTGATACCACAAAATTCATTCACTATCACCACCATTAAAAACCCAGTATTTACTCCTAGCCAGCAAAACATTCTTTACCTTCCGTTAAAGGCACTAGCGTCCCTACAGGATGAAGACGACACAATTTACCTCCGGTTTATCTCAACAAAAGGAGAGCATTCCGTGAAATTGTCACACAAAAAATAAGACGCCACCTTTTCCGCTAGAAAACTAGAAAACACCCCACCCTCCCCACCAGTGGTGTTCCTCAGACGGTCGTCATGAGTTTCAGCGAGCCGGACCGAAAGCGGAGGATTTTCTTCTTGAGGTTATGCGAAGCCTTAATTTTGACAAAGGTTTTCGTGGGGTTGCTGTGGAGGACTGGGGCTGTGACCGCCTGGATGGGGAGAGTCTGGACAAACTGGGACCAGATCAAGCCCCCGCTTTCTTCGGAGTCACTGGAGCTCGTGCTGTCGCCCGCAAACTCACCCTCGCTCACGCTGGACTCGCTGTCCCCGAAGCAGTTGGTGGTGTAGTTGCTGCGCTCGTCCTCGCTCGTGTCCAGCACGGTGGAGTGGAAGAGCGACTCGCACTCGGCCGAGTACTCCGAGTCGCTGGCCACGTACGCGTAGGGGCTGGCGTAGGGCAGCGGCACGGCAGCGGGGTACAGCCCCACGTGCTCGCGCCGGCCGCGCCGCGACCTCCGCAGGGCCTCTTCCAGGGAGACCTCGGCGGCCGAGCGCCAGCGCCGCGAGTCGGTTCGCTTGTGCTTGGGCTTGGCCACCAGCGCCTCCCGGCCGTGGCCGTGCGCCCTGCCCCCGGCCCTGTGGCCGGCACCGGGCGGCCGGCTGGGGAGACCGGCGTCCGGCTGGCCGCCCCCGCCTTTCCTCCCCCGGGACGAGGCCTTCCTGAGTTTCTTATTTGTATCCGCGTCGTCGGGGAACCGGCACTTCTTGCCGGCCGCGCGGTTCTTCTCCCTCACGGGGGGCAGCGCGCTGTCGGGCCCGTGGAGGGCCAGGGCGCCCCGGTGCTTCGGGGCCGAGCCCCGCGGGGCAGCCGCGGTCCGGGCGCCGCGGTGGGGCCGGCCGCCCGCGGCCTGCGGGCCCGGGACCGACGGCGCCTTCGCCGGGGGCCCTTCCTCCAGGCTCTGAGAAGAGGAGCCCTCGCTCTTGAAATCCAGCGCCGGGCGCTCTTCCACGGAGAAAGCGGAAGACAGCAGCGCAGCCGGGGCAGGAGGGGGCGCTGCTGGAGGGGCAGGCGGCAGGCCGCTTTTCGGCGACAGCTTTTTCAGTGGCAGGACGACTTTGTTCTCCTGCGGCGGCGCGGGGCCCCTCCCGGGGCTCTCCTTTGGGGAGGCGGCTAGGACCTGAATGCCGTCTTTGGGGGACTCCCCTGTCACAGCGGTGGGACACCGAGCGTGTTCCTGGGAGGCGGGCTTGGTATTTTTGGGCAGATGCTTACTTGGAAGTTCAGTGGCAGCGCCTGGCGAGCAGCCCTCTGGCGGGGACAACCTCTTGCTTTCCACTTGTTCTGCCTTTGATTCTTTTGACCACTGCTTCAGTGGGGAGAATGTCCCATTGTCCAAAGAGGGGATTCCGCCAGAGGGCAAAAGCACCTGTTTAGAATTCTTAAGGTTCCCGCCGTTGCCCTGTGAGACACCCCCAGTCACTCTGACACAGACGCTCCCATTCCTCAGAAGCCCCTTCGTGGGGTCAGCATTCACACTGGTTCTTGGTTTGTTGGTCCTTACAGGGTGTGTTTTTTTCTGGACCAGGCTCAGAATGTAGCCATCCATTTTCTTACTGGATGAAGGATGGGGAGCAGACCACAAACTGCTTGGAGCTGGTAAGGAAGTGTCTGTCTTGATGGCGTCCAGCTCAGATCCCACACAAATGTCACTGGCATGGTTACCAAGCCTCTCCTCTTCCCTCAGAGGGTTGCCCGTCAGGCAAAGGAGAAACATTGGGCTCTGCACCGCCACGGCATGAAGTGGACTGGGATAGCGATACACATCATTCCCGTTTTTAGACACCAGATCACACTGGTACTTGGGATTCACATCTGCAATGATACCAAGGGAATTAAATTGTGATGTGGATTGGGAATGACAAACTGCCCCTGAGGCCTGGTCTTCACAGTGGCCTTCTTTATATTCCAACCATCCCATGAGATCTGAAAGACATTTAAAGGTACACTCTGAAGAAATGAATTGGTCAGCGCCAGCTTGACTCAGGCCAGTTTCTATGAAAACGAATTCACAGATAGAGAATGCTAAAGAATCCACAACTATTCCTAGAAGCTACTATACTCTTTTACACACAGTCCATACTACTGGATAAGGGAAGAAATGTGTAACAAGAAATGATATATCCTCTGAAGGAAAATTATTCAGCCGTTAAAAATACTTTTACACTACTGAATAATATGGGGAAAATCCTTTAAAGTTTAGTGAAAATCATGATATAATACCAGACTATGATTATAATTTTATTGGCTGTATATATGCAAAGAGAAAAGTCTTAGATGAAGCACACCAAGATGCCAATGGTAGCACTGCAGTGTAGAAAGCAAGGGAGATTTACTTCATTTCCTATTTTCTAAATTTTCAGTAAGTATGCACTGCATTTATAACTAGGAAAAAAAAACATTTTTTGAATCATTCTTTCTCTGGGCTACTCTACCCTCCATATTCTATTCCTGGTTTCCTTTTGAAATACTGCAGATAAACTACTTTCTGAGAGCTTTCCCCTCATTTTCTATTTTTTTAAGACCTACTACTTAATGACATATGTTTGGTATAATTGTCAACTGGAAATTCAAAGAAACTGATCAAATTTCAATGGAGACTAACCAAATATAAATAATAATCACCTTATACTTTCAATAGTGACACTAAAAAATAAAACAATATTTTTAAATAGGAAGGGATTCTTGATAAGGTTTTAAAAGACTGAGTTGTAGTATTAATGAATAAATTTTCCACATCTCAAAAATGTAGATGCCAAAATACAATGAAATAAAGCTTTCTTGCTTAATTAAATGATTTTGATGTCTTACCTTGGTGACTATTATAAATAGCAAGTGCCTTTAATGAACTTCAGCTAAGGAAAATCAAAGTTTTTATCACTAATATATCCCGTATTATATTTACTCACTCAAATATTAAAAACCTACTATGTGCCAGAGTCTATGTAAATTGCTTAATTTAAGGGAAAGCTCCATGACCTTCAATGATAATTAGCAGTCCTGGGGGAAAATACATTTTGGACCCAGAAATGCTATGATTCATTTGTAAAGAAAAGATTATTATAAAGTAAAAGTGCTGTGTCCTTACCCCCTCCACCTCCACTCCTAATAAATAGCTAATTGTAAGAAAGGGAAACCTTTCTACCTAATATCGTTGCTCTTCCTCCACTACTCTATCTTCGCCCTACATTTAAGCACTGCCCTACATTTACCTACACTTTACCATTCTGTCCCTGTTCCCTACTTAGAGTTAAGGAACAGGACAGACCTCTCAGTCCCCAAGGCCCAGTACAACTGTCTCAATTATGTGAAGATGTGGCATTTGGGAGATCAAGGGTCTGTCTTCAAGGAAAACCTATACCAAAGCGCCTTTGATGGGTTTTAAAGTTTCCCTCTGAAACCAGATCTGCAGAGTGAAGGGGAGCAATTACCAATGAACTTGAGGCCTAGACACTCTAGATAACACAAATTTGTGCTTCCCCAAATGATTGCTGCTGACAGCACACAGTACAAACACAAAGAAACCAGTCAGTTAGCGGCCTCAGTTGTGTGGCATTACGTTTGCATTGCTCAGATCTCAAAAATTCAGCCTTTCCACCGAAGTGGAGGACACAGACCAAGAGTACAATGACTTGTGCACCTACAGCTCCTCTCCATGTTTTCTCTGCTCTTCTGAGGAACCACAATAAAGCAGAACTACGCAAGGAGTCCCAAGTTTCAGCAACAACTCTGCCATTCAGCAAATGAGGAGCCTCTGACGAACTGTTTTTATAAAACCAAATTCCTCCTCTGTTCAGTGAGAAGGTCGAACACAGCAATTTCTGAATTCTCTGGGTGTGGTGGAAAAAACTTGGACCTGGCAGTTAGTCCCGAGTGTGAATCCTGCCTCTGCCACGCACTAGCTATATAACCTTAAACAATTAACCTAACCTCACTGGACCTCATTTTTCTGAGACATAAAATGGAGCTAACGATACCTGCACACCCTGCAGAACTATTGGGAGGATTCAAAGGAGCTAAATGTATGCAGAGCATTCGGTACAGTGTGTGACATACAGTGGAAATGCAGAAACTCTTCCAATACCAACAACAGCATGACTCTCTCTGGAGGTCACTGCAAGGATAACCCAAAATGGGGAACAGTGGTGCATGGCCCAGGGGAATCTCACCCCACCCACCTGCTAGAAGAAAAGACAGCTGCCATCGTGCAAGACATTCTGGAGAACCTGGAGAGGCCACTGCTCCCTGAAGTGCCAATCAGTCTGACAGATATATTTAACTTAGTTTAAGTTTGAGCTTTAAATGATTAAAAGAAGAAAAAAACAGATCCAAAGTGGATTTTAAGAGAAAACGAAAACAAGTTAAACTAATGGCAAAGGCTCACAAACAGAGCCCAAGATCTGTATTATTGGGACAGGATTTCTAAAGATAAGCTATCTTGCCACCATCAGCTAACTCGTCCTCAAAGAGGACTTGAATAGTGGTCATCGTGGTTCTAGATCAACTATGTCATGAAATGTAACACGTTGATGAAATTCTCTGACCTTCTGTTTTTCTATCAATAGAAGGGGTTGAAGCTAGATAATCTTTAAGGGCCTTTGACCCCTTCCAATCAAAAATGTCTATCAAGGGGCGCCGGGGTGGCTCAGTCGTTAAGCGTCTGCCTTGGGCTCAGGTCATGATCCCAGGGTCCTGGGATCGAGCCCCGCATCGGGCTCCCTGCTCAGCGGGAAGCCTGCTTCTCCCTCTCCCACTCCCCCTGCTTGTGTTCCCTCGCTCACTGTGTATCTCTCTGTCAAATAAATAAATAAAATCTTTAAAAAAAAATGTCTATCAATTCTAAAAAGTCTTACCTGCAGATTTGGGGCAACCATCGGAGATCGTCAAGGTTGCCTCCAAGGGGCCGCAAAAGCAGGTACTGGAATGACAACTGGATAAACACTCACTGAAGACCGAGTTAGAGGAATTGGAAAGGGATCCTGAAGCCCCATCACTCAGCTCATAAAACCCTACAAATAAAAACACCGTTTGGAACTAAGATCATGTCAAGCAATAGTACACATTTGTGCTTAAAAGGAAAAGGGTTAATCAACTAGGAAAGGTAGGAAAGGGAGGTTTTGGTGGGGGGGGTCAATTTTGGTTCACTGGATTTAGCATTGTGACTGTATGGTTTTATTTCAAGCGATTCTGAGGAAAAGGCAAAGAGCCCGTATCTATGGATACATTTCAAAGTTACTCTCACCCTCAAATCGACTGTCCTCCTTGACCCCACCTTTAAAGATGTGCAAGGAAAGAGACTTAGATCTGTCAAAGCCTCAACTTTATCATGAATGTCTCAGAAGGAATAATTTGAAGAAAAAAATCTATTTAAGGAGCCAAATGGCTTAAAAGGAAAAAAAAAAAAAACTTTTGAAGTGGTCTCAGGAAGTTGAAGTGTGACTAATTTTCTAGCCCAGTTCTGACTTTCTCAAGTTTCAAAGGAGGACTGCTCTTCCAGAAATTTGAATAGAAGCTTTTATTTTTAAACTCAGGAGACTCCAGTCAGATCAATCTCATTATTAAAAATTTTGTCATCTGGTTTTATTTCCCTCTCATACAACTGAATGGCAGACTGCTTTTTTTTTTAATTCTCTCTGCCCTAGAAACAAACTCCATTGCCATTTGCAGGTCTGGGAATGCTAAACCCAGGGGCCTGAAGTAGAACTTGAGTGCAGAATTCTGTCCTTGTGCTCACACACTCACCTGAGCTGGGCCGACTGTCTGTCTCCAGGTGCTCTTCAGATGTCTTTTCTACATCTAGTCTCAGGTCACTTATCTGCTTGTCAAGTTCTTGCAACTGATTCAACAAACCAGCATCTCTTCTCCTCAAACAATTCTGATTAGGAAGAAACACAGAAAGGAAAAATAAAGACATTTTTGGTCACAAAGAACCAGAAAGCCTGCTCTTAGTATTCAGATTACCATTTGAAGAGTTCACTAAATCTTCCAAAACCAAAATTTTACTGGATGACCTGAAATTTAAAAAAAAAAAAACAACTTCAAGAATATGTCCTACGTTTCATTTTACTTTCTTAGATTTTGTGGTACTTGCTTTTTGTATAAACAAATATATACAAACTCGCTTTTTATAGGTAAGGACAAGAAAAGGAGATTTTTTTAAATATTTTTAAAAAGATTTTATTTATTTGACAGAGAGAGAGAGACAGCGAGAGAGGAAACACAAGCAGGGGGAGTGGGAGAGGGAGAAGCAGGCTTCCCGCCGAGCAGGGAGCCCAATGTGGGGCCCAGTGTGGGGCCTGATGTGGGACTCGATCCCAGGACCCCGGGATCATGACCTGAGCCAAAGGCAGATGCTTAAGGACTGAGCCACCCAGGCGCCCCAGAAAAAGAGATTTTTTTTTTAACCCTCTGCGTACAACCAATTTTTTACAAAACCATACTTCACAGTAGACTCTTTAATTTGAACTCAGGGTGTAAGATATTTCCTACAATATACTATACTCTTACTTAGGTGAGATTTTCTGGCCAAATGTCCCACAGAGTTTTGTTTTCTATTAGTTGCTTTGTGGGGTTTAATCAGTCTTAGGGCCTTTGAAAGTGAGAAACTAATACTAATAGCCAGTGCTAAGTATAATGTGAGCTGGCAAAATCCAAAACCCTCAAGGGAAGGTCCATCAAGATTTGAATTCAACTCGGGTTTCCAAAGGTGACAGATCTGTAGCGCTAACTCACACCGCCACCTAGTGCTTCCTACTGCTGGGAAAGCAAAAGAACTAAAAAGGCATCTGGTTCAAATCATGAATGCCAAGTCTACAAATGAAAAGAGTACCACAAACACTGACTGGACTGAAATTCTCCTGACATGCTGCCTTGCTCCCCTCCAGGGAACAACAGGAATGTGCCACTCACAATCTTGAAACTCGTGAAGAGAAAAAGGTGCTATCATACAAGACAATGCATAAAATGTCAATGACCAGGCATAACCGGCAAGAATTGACTCAAATCCATGTTACACACGAATCTGGTTTGGTACCAAAAAAACAGTAAAATGCCAAAAAAGGTAGTGCACAAACCAGGATACATCTTTAAAAAAATAGATGCACAGGAATATTATTCCTCCCGTCTGACCTTTGATTTAAAAAGCTTGTAGACAAAACCATATATGCATGTTTGCTAGAATGAGTTTCTTCAGGAAAAATGAACCAAAGTAAAAGCCCTTTGATGCTGGAGAGAAAGAGGGAGAGAGGAGAGAGAAAAATTATCTGAAAAGAGATAATACAAGAAACCCCTTGACAAATAACCACATGGCATCACCTGTGTTCACTATTGTAGAAGGGACATTATCTAGCATGTGTCTAGTTTCAAACAGTATCACATGGTCAGAAAAAGATTTTTTCCTCTCTGTTTTCAAAACTACATTTTTGAGGTCACCATAACAAAGCTGCCGCCATTATTCTGAGGCGGGGTCAAAAGCTGTTCATCAATACATTAAGCGCCAAAGTTCTCTTTCTTCTCCATTAATGCAGATGGCATAAAATGACTGAGACACTGACGGAAATCCAGTAAGATAAATGCTGCCTAAGAGCAGGTTCTCTCTTCTCCCACTTCCACCACCGGTCACATAAAATACGAGAGGACGGGGCACTCTCTCCAGCCAAATTTCTATCATTTGCGTGTTTTAGCTGCCTCATACAAAGGGCTTCTATTTGAAATCAAGCAGCAGCCCAGGCAAAAGCTGGCAGGCCGAGAGCCCTGGGAGGGGCAGGGCTCCCTACGTGCGCTTCCGCGTAATCGTAAAATTCAGCATTGGACAGTTAACCTCGCCACAAGCCCCCTCCTCGGCTTTTGTCCCCTCTCGGCGGGAGGACACGAAGCTCAGAGCTCCAAATGAAATGGTTATTTTAAAGGAGGGTTTGCAAACATTCGGGGAGGGGGAGTTGCATTCGTCCAACTAGAGAGGTTGAAGGTTACAACCAGGCGACTCCAAGAACCCCGAGGACAGCGCGAGGAGGGGAGCGCTGCCACCACCCACCCCCGGCAATCCGCGCGAGGTCGCCAGCCCCTGTGACCACCCCCCCTCACCTGACACAAAGCGGGCACACGCCCCACGCAGGAATGGGGGTCCCGGAACAGGGAGACTCCCCCCAGCCGGAGGCACCCTCGCGCCCACCCCCAGACCACCTGCCCGAATCCCAGCCCCTGTGCAGGGACAGCCGTGCCCCTACCTCCAGGCACGACCTACCAATTGCTTCCGCAGCAGCAAGATATTCTCCTCCAAGAACTTCTCCTCCAGGAGGCTGCGTTGCGCCGCCTCCGCCGGCAGCTCCCCAGCGCGGGGTGCAGCGACTCCCGAGCCCCCGGCGCCACGCAGGGCGCCCCGAACCAGCAGCTCCTGGCGCTGGCGCAGGTACTCCAGCTCTGCCAGCCCGGCCAGCGTGGCCTCCTGCCGCTCCCGGGTGCGCTGCCGCTCCGTGTCCGCCTCGCCCTTCTCCCGCCAGCGCCCCTCGGGCTCCCCCGCGCGCTGCTCGCCCCGGGCCGGCGCCTGCGACTCCAGCTCCCTCGCCGTCCCGGCCGCACTCGGCTTCATGGCCCCCACCCTCGCAGCGAGCACCCGTCACCGCAGCCGGGCCGCCCGGGCGGAGAAGCGGGCGCTAGGGCTGCGGCCGAGGGCTCATGCCGCCCTGAGACGGGGCACGGCGACGGGGCAACAGCCAGAGGCGCTCAGGACCCGCTCGCGGCCGCGGGCTGCCGCCGTCCGGGTCCGGGCGGCGCCGTCCGCTGTCGCCGCGCGTCCCTCGCCGCGGCCCCGCAGCTGATAACGCCCTGCCCGGCGCTACGTCACGCGCGGCGGCCGGGCAAACCCCCGCCTGGCGCCCGCCTCCCCGCGCCGGCCCCTCCGCGCCGAGGCCCGCTCCCCCAGGCTTCCCCCTCTTCTGTCAGGGGCGCCGCTGGCGCTCAGCGCCGGCCTCCTCGGCGCTCGGCCCTCCCCTCTCCTCCCTCTTTCCTCCCCCGCTCTTCCCGCGGGCCTCCTCGCCCCCTTTTCGGGTTTACTGCACCCAATTTTTGCCTCGCTCCTTATTGGTTCTTTTGCCTCGCACAAAGCAAGGGGCGAGCGCCTCGAGTCCCAGCATCCTGTTACAGTCGGCCTCGCTGGCAGGGTCGCGAAGGGACGCAGCAGTTGGGCTCCCCAGAGAACTTTCTGAAACTCGACCGAGTTGCAGCACACAATCTTAACCCTTTCCCCCCACGTCCACTGTTCACATCCGCTCACACCGATTTAGGTTTCTTTCACCTTGCCGAGCAAGGTACTCAGAGTGTATGCAAAGACAATTTCTGTGGGTTTGGTTTCTTTGACTCCGCTTTGTGGAGGCAAGCAATACCAAAGCACAGTGCAATGTTGTTCTAAAACTGTCTCACTTTTAGTTCTGTGGCTGTTGTATGTACACGTGTATGTATGTATGTATGTATCGAAGGCATATAAAATTAGGCGAAAGGAATGTCGCTGTAAAGCAAGCGGTTGCATCAATTCTTTTACCAGCCCCGGGTTTAATGCTGGCGCGTGCGCCTGCGCGCTTTGGTTTTTGTTTGAGTTTTTTATTGTTGTTATTTGCTATCTTGGGCAAACAAAAGAGCTCTGACTCTGAAACCAGACTGTCTGAATGTGAATTCTGTTCCAGCCTTGACTAGCTGTGCAAACAAGTTACTCCGCTTCTCTATGCCTCTCTTTCCCCAACGGTAACATGGAGCCACTAGCAGACTATGCCCGTTATAAGAATTATAGTAATATACGGTATATAATATGGCGGGGCGAGGGTGAGCGTTTATAAAGTGGCAGGCACATAGATAGTCAGGATTATTGGAGTTGTGGCTTTTTGTTTTCTTCTAGAGGGACCTATAAACTTTCCCCCGAAGTGGCATTTGTGGCATGGTCACCTCTGCTTGGGACACTGGTCACAGGGAGTCTTGGTGGGATAGAGGTTTGGAAGCGCCACTAGCTGGCTTGTCTATGGAAAAGCACCAGATCTGTTTTAAAAATCAATACATCGAAGAGCCTCAGAAATTAAATCCAACAAGACACAATCTGCAGAAGTTCAGGCAAAGTGTTGTGTGAAGGAATGCATCCTCTATCATTATTTCAAACTCTTGCACCTTTGCCTGCTGCCCTTTCTACCCCGTGTGGTCTAGCCTTTCCTCCAAGATCTGTTCACGTCTCTCCTCTGAACTCCAGATAACTGTATGAATATCTGATTCTTACCAAATGCTATTTGTTTGGTTATTTATCTGGGTGTGTACACACATATCTATGTATGTAGGTGTTTATGTGTATTTCTTCTCTCCAATTACCTTATAAAAGTTCCTTGAAGGCAGAGACTGTTTTAATACCCTCTTTAGTATTACTGTACTCAAAACAGTGCCTTGCAAGCATTCAACTGATGATCTATAGAGACTCAAGAAAATGTAGGTTGGTTGTAAATTGTTTTTACATTAACATACTTTCTAACTAAATAATAGTACCCATTTAATCTCTGCAATAAGTAGAATCAACTCAGCATTTACTAAAACAAAAACCATATTCCCTTGCCACACTCCATTGACCTCCCCATTGCTGTCCCTCACAGACATAAAACAAACTAACGACAATCATGATTCATGATCAACAAGATTGTGTATTAGATCTAAAAACAGAATTATGTTCAAGTGTTCATCAGCAGACAAAATCAATTCTATTCGGGTCACCTCTTCTTTATGCTTACTGTGTGCCAAACAATTCACTTAGTAACACAGGAACTAATTTTCCCCCATAACTTTAATAAAGCACTGAAGGCACTGAAGAATATGACAGATCCCCTATAGTAAAGGCCACTCGCCCATGTCCTCTATCATTGTCTCATTCTATTTATTTCTAAGCAAGCCTCTTGCTTTCTAGCTCCGAATTAGATTGCTTCTGGCTTGGTAGAGTCTATTATTGTGACCTGGGTTATGTCACACATCGACAACTATATATTTATAGAATTGGGGGGGAGAAAACCTGAAACATGTTTTACACACTACTAATAAATCTTGTTAAAGTGGACAGACAAATCACTATGTCTCCAAGTCTTCCCCACCCCCCATCTCACCTCCCCTCCCCACCAAATGCCACTTGGAGCTGGCTCATTAGTCCAAAGCAAACCATTTGCCATAACAGCTTGTACATCTCCATGAGAAAGTGTTCCCAGCAAGTTTAAATATTAAAATTAATGTATTCAAATGGTTCCACCAGTAAAATGGTCACAAATAGGAAAAAAAAGGTTATGCTTTCCAAAGTATCCATTACACATTAATAAATAATGCTGTTCATTCACATGCCAATTAAAACAAACTCGGGCTGTCAAGTGAAATTAGAAGCAAGGAGCTCAATGCTGTAATTGTAGGGTTTTTTGTTTGTTTGTTTTTTTCAGGAAAACTCCCAATGTCGTCAGATTAAGTGTAACTAGTTGGGTTGCCCCTATTCTCTTCTTTACTCAACAGCCAAATTTTCTCCTCTCCCATCTAGTCCTGGCTTTCCTCTCTCCCCTTTGATTCTTTGTTTTGGTTGCAGGTATTCCGGAGGCAGTTGAAGGTAATCACCCACCGCTCATTGCTCCTTTCTGTTGCCAACAGGATCTCATTTCCCCCTACTGTTTCGATTTTTCTTTCTCTACTTTTTAAAGCAGGTGCTGGTGCTTCTTCCTCCACTGATGCTACTTTGTTATCTCCTTTCCAGTATTTGTTCAGCCCTAGTTAATTCTTCTGCTTCCACCCTCTCACCGAAGCCTCTGTTTCGGTTTCGCAGAAAAGCTGTTAATCTACACACAGAAAGTGGTGGCACTAAAGATGGAGTGGATCTGCTGCCTGGAGAATCTGGACAGTAAGATAAAGTTGCTAATGTGAAAAAAAAGTCTTGACTGAATATATCGTAGTTGGGTAGTTTATGCTTCAGAGCATTTCCTGGGCAGAGCCAAGAAGAGTCCCTCAGATCACACAGTCTGACCCCTTGCCCTTGGGCAGAACAGCTCCCACCAGCCCCCCCACTAAAGTCTGAGTAGCAGTCTACAAATACCTCATCCAGCAGTGAACTTCTACTGCAGCCAGGCAAAGTAAGGAGCGTCAGTTGCAAGTTTTGCTATAGAGAAAAGCAACAAAATGATGCCTTGCAGCTTTTATGGCCAAACACAAATGATGTAATTGGGAAAAGCTGTCTCCAAATAGGAGGAAAAAAATAAAGGGCAATCCTTTGAGTTGGGGTGATGACCACCATTCGAGGGTCTGGGATCAAAGCTCCAGCCAGACATCAAAGCCCATTTGAGTCTAATGCCAAAAGAGCCACAGTGAATTAAACTTCATATATAAACTAATTATAGCTTGACCCCACAATCAGGCTTCAGTGAGCATATAGGGGAAAGAAAGCAGACATTGAAACAAAAGATCAAGAAAAAGGAAAGTTGGTAGCAAAACTGGGCAACATCATGGCCCTGACCACTTTTAAAAATCTTTTGAGGGCAGAGGGGAATAAGGGATTGGTGGTGGAACCAGCAAGGTTTTGACAATGCTGGTCTTGTTTGCAAGACTATGAAACAGCTCTTTCCACCCTCATTGACTGGTGTACAACCACACACTTTCTTATTCCTGGAAGAAAAGGTTATCCGTTAACTGTTTTAGCATTGTTATAAAGGTTTCCAGTCACCAGGTTTCTGTTGAAGAAGCCCTAGATGATTCCATGAAGTTTGGGGGTGAGTTCTTCAGGAAGCTCAGCTTCCTTATACAGCGCACCCTGAGTTCCAAACACGCACGCTAGGAGTGACTTGCATTCCCCTGGCCTCCATCACTGATGTCTCCACCAACCTCAGACTTCAGTCCCTTAGCTCTGCCATTTACAGACAGAAGGTTCCTCATACCAGGTGTGCAAATACCCTAGAACATGCTCTGGTACTAATCCCACAAAACTACTTCATTCCCAGGCAAAATTGAAAACTGTTTCAGAGACAAGTGGTCACTTTAAACAATTGTATTTGGTAGATCTTGCACTTACTCTGCTTTGTTGGAACTGGTCCCTAAATATTTGAAATTCTCCATCTCATGAACTAGCAAACTATTACAAATCTAATTTGATAATCCACAGAACATATTCAATCATGTTTATTTGTAGATAAGCATTAGTGATTTCTTAAAATAATAATCTAATTATAACCTGAGTCTCTTGCATGAGAGAAGAAAACTTTAAAGCAGGCATTCCCATAAGATAAAAACAAATACGTACCATCATCGTTGCTTTGCACCTCTTTAAGTGACCATTCATTTATTCAACAGATAGGTATTGCCTTTCCAATACATGACAGGTACTGGGGAATACAGTGATGAACAAATCTGACTTAATCCCTACCTTTATGAAGCTCTAGGAGGGAAACTGGCACTAATTAAATAATTACATACATATATCTATGATATTTATATTCAAATATATATATATTCAAATATATATACATATTTCCATATATTGTTCTATACTTTAGAATATGTTTCCATATATATTTCTAAATACACAGATATTTCCAAATTTATAAATAA